ACACACACACACACATATATACACACATACACACAAACATATATATATAGCCATGTTTCTGAATTGGAAGTAAATTATTAATTGAGAATTTTTGATATCATTGTTCATCCATATTTTGAGATACTACACAAGTTCTTATCCTTGATATAGGCTCCTTTTTTTCGCCTTTTCAGCTCCTGCTAAAACTGATAGGAGTAATAATGCAATCATAAGGTCAATGCAGGAAAGTGCTCTTTATTACATGCAAATATATCCTGAGGCATTCCTAAACTTATTAATTATGGAATATCAAGCTGCATGCAATATTCCAGATAAAAATAGGATGTGAAGTTATAAATAATGGCCTATGATTCATTTTGATGCTCCATTCTTTAAAGCATGGAAGTTCCCATTTTTCTTCCTAAGACCTATTTTTTTGTTTGTTCGTTTAATCTTTTTACTTACTTCCCAATTTTTATCACTATATAGTACATGCCTTCTCAGGAATTTATTTTATTAAGAAGCAGAGTTTTATTTTTATAAATTTACCAAGTCATAGAGCAGTTCTACTCTATACATATGGGGTTGTGATCAGTCACAAAAAAAGTTGAAAGCAATCAATCACAATGACAACTGTGACTAGCAGAAAACAACAAAGTTTCATCTAAAAGCTAGAGTGGTGGCCTAGGCTCATTCATAAGCTAAGTGACAAATCCTATGTACTAACCTCAGTTAGAGTCATTTAAAGTAAAATTCTCAGTTACTACCTGTAATGTTGGAATTCCCTAGCAAATAATTAATTTGCAAAAACTAAATGCTCAACTAAAAAATAAATGGAGGAATATATTTCCAATTAAGTTAGTTATGGACGATGCTACCAACTTTTTCCTGGACCCATATCTAAGTAAATAGTGGAAGAAGCTAGATTCTTTCACAGAGCATTCTGATGAAAGGCAGAACCATAGCTTCTGTGGGCTTTTTTCATCATTTTAGCAAAGAGCAATGAAAAAAAATTTGAAAACAGCCTGGCATTAGTTATTTGTTCATTATTCTTCTCAAGACACCTGCAACCTCCTTGTTTCTCAGGCTATAAATGAAAGGATTTAGTAGGGGAATTATCATTGGGTAAAATAAAGAATATGCTTTGTTCTGATTTTCATCTGGTCCAGACCCAGGACTCACATACATCAAGAAGATAGTGCCATAGAACAAAAAGACAGAGAGTAGATGGGCACTACATGTGGAGAAGGCTTTGCTTCTGCCCCTTTCAGACTTCTTTCTCAAGACAGCAAAAAGGACACAAGTATAAGAGACTATGATGGACAGGAAAGTAAAGACTTGTATAAAGACTGAAAAAATTAAAACCAGGAGTGTATTGACTGTAGGATCAGTGCAAGAAATTTTGAACAATTGTAAAATTTCACAGTAGTAATATTGTATTATGTTGGATCTGCAGAAAGTTAATCTGAACAACAAAGTTACATGAATCATAGAATGCAGAAAACCAGTAACATATGAAACACTTACCATTTGAATACAGAGGCTATTGGACATCACCCCCAGATAAAGCAAGGGGTTACATATGGCGACATAGCGGTCATAGGCCAACACTACCAGGAGAAAACATTCTGTGGTTGCACTGGAAGCAAGAAAATAAAATTGGGCCATACAGTCAAAAATGGACAGCATGTGATTGTTGGATAAAAAATTCATAAGCATCTTCGGAGTCACAGAGGATGAAGTACAAGCATCTGCCAAGGCTAAACTGCCAAGGAATAAATACATGGGTGTGTGAAGACGGGGTTCCTTCCAGATGAGAGCAATCAGTCCCAGGTTTCCCACCATGGTGATGAGGTAGATGACCAAGAACACCAGGAACAGGGGGACCTGCAACTCTGGGTGATCTGTAAGCCCCATGAGCACAAACTGTGTCATCAGAGTTCCATTTTCTTCCACCATATCTACCTTCTCCAATCACTAAAATGAAAGAATACATAAGGAAAATAGGAACAAAAGAATCATAAAAAATGGTGAAATTTTTCATGACCAACAGGTTTCTCATTTAATTAGTTCTTAATTTTTAGTTTTCATTTGTCTACTTTTACATATATGCAAAATTCTCCATAATAAAATGTTCTAAAATGCTAATTCACCTAAGGTGACACATAAATTTAATGCAAATTATTTTCAAGGTAATGCAATATTTTAGAACATTGCTTTATCTTAAATTCACATGAATGAAAAAATAATGTTTGAAAAGACCAAGAAAACTATAAATAGCAAGAATAGTCAAGAGTACCTTGATTGATAATAACCTAGGGTATTAAGCCATAAAAATAAAAATATTAAAATATTGGCATGCTAATAGACAAGAGAATCAGTTCAGTAGAAGAGAAAATTCTGAAACTGATCATGGTACTTATGGAAATGCGCCATAAAATAAATATAATATTTCAATTTCATAAGAAATGCATGATTGATTTAATGAATAATACTGGCATTGTTGGCTACCTGTTTCAAAGTAAATCAAGTTGGTCCCCCACCTCACAGAATAAATATTTTCAAAGTTATTTAAGAGACAGTAAAGTAACATAGGAATTAGAGAAATGCTTAACCAAGAGAAGAAAATCAATCTAAAAACATGATTAGAATTTAACATATAGCTAAGGAGGACCTAAACAGAGTCATAAAGGCTTATAAATGGTTAGGAAATATATTTTACCATATATATGAAAGATATGGGCTAATGCATATAATGTAAAATAGTTGCCAAAAATCAATAAGAAAAAAGAGTAGAGGGTATTAATAAATATGTTTACAGATGAACAAATCAAAATGACCAATAAATACTTGAAAAGATGCTTAGGTTTCTAGTGCCAAATACATAGGTATACTCCCACAGACACACACACACACACACACACACACATTCCTCTTGTCTCATGTAGCAGATTGCCAGAAATTAGAAAGAGTAAAATTACTTCTGAAGTGAGAAGTGTTGTATTGTCACATATTATTCATGGAAATATTGAGTTGCAATAGTCGTTTTGAAAAACAATTTTATATAAACCCATTACATTTTTAAAGAGATGATATGGTCTTTGATCTACTACTTTTAATTTTATACATACCATGGGAAAAAAGCACCACTTCACAAACATAAATATATAAATAATAGCAAATGCATCATTATTCAAGGTGGAGAAGCTCAAATTTATCAACAGTAAAATAGTCAAATTGCAAAATATTCATATTATGGAATATAATTCAATTATGTGAAAAAAAGCTACACTTCTTGAATATTTCCACTATTATCTATGATGAATAAACTACAGACAAGGGTAAATAATATGGTCACAATATAATAAAACATGCAATGCATTTTTAAATCTCTTTTACATAATATCGATAACAAATGCTGTTTATAATACTACTTTTTCTGGAATAGAGTGGGGAAATAATAGAAGAAATTGAGGAGAGGAGAAAAGGAATATGTTAAAATAAGAGTTCCTTACTTGGGGGCTAGAGGGATAAAGCACATATATTATGATTGCTTTCACATAAAATTATGTAGTTAATTTATATATGTGCATATCTATATCTATAGCTACATATATGAAAGGAGGGTCTCCAATATGTTAATAATGAAAAAATAAACAAGAACAATTAAATCCTACTGATGAATTTTTAAGGAGATCCTTTGACATTTAGTAATCCTATATAAAATTAGGATTTAGCTGTCTGTAATTTTCTGCATAAAAATCAGTTAAATCCAGAAATAGACTTCTGGGAATTCAGCATATTCTTTTAAATATTACCAATGGGAGAAAATTTTTGACCATTGAAAGTAATTTGTTTTCTTTTTAATACTCAAAACTTATTCACTATTGAATATGATTTCAAAAAAGAGTAATAGGTTCTTTTAGGTTTTTTGTTTTGGTAAATTTAGAATATTTCTTATTAAATTTATTACTACATACTGTAAAATTTCATCACTCTTTTGAATATAACATCTCATGTTTGCATGAAGTGATTAGACAAATTTTGTTTCAACATTGTTTAATAGTCTCTGAAAATAGCTCCAAAAACGAGTTTCCTGGTAACTACACAGCCTCCTAGATTGCCTTCAAAAGAAAAAGAAATAAATTTAGATGTAAAAATTGTTATAATGTTGAAAAAAGCATTTTTTATAATTTTATGGTCACATCTTTCAATATTCAGGGAACACAAAAAATTTTTATTATCTAATTTTAAAATATGGACAAAGATTCTTTTTTAAAAATGAATTATGGATTTAAGGAAGAATTGTGAGATGTTATTTTATCTTCATAGAAAATAAGCAAAAAATAAGTTTCAAAATTTTTACTTGTAAATAAGTAGCCATGGAGAGCCTTTATATGTACAACATAATCACAGTACTAAATGAAAATAAGAACAGTAAGAGATTTTGCTCTGAATAAAATGGCCCAACTTTTTTCCTTAACATCAAATAACCAAAGTATTGATTTTCCTAGTTTTATTGCATACAATGTACAATTTAGCCAAGAATTACAAAGCCTTGTTAATTTTCTGTCAAGTTATGTGCTACATAACACAAAGAAGCTACTTAAGTTGCCTTCAGTGACTTTAGACCATATTCTGTTGATTCCATAAAATGAAAAATTTCTCTTATTGTAATCAGCCACAAAATTTAAACTAGAATTAGTACCACTGTAAAAAATTGCAAAAAGTTAGATTTGAAGTCCATACTTTAAATCAGTTAAGAAAATTTTTACATTATAAAATAAACCCTGAAAATATTGAACAACTATCATTATTAATTTTTCCATTTCTTCATTAGTCTATTAGTCAAACTTTATTACTTAAAAAAATCCCAATAAATGTATACCAACAAGGTAAAAATTCTTACTGAAAAGACACTTCTTTCTGTCATGCATAGTTTCATTACTGATTAAAATAAAGCATGCCTAGGATTTTAATTCTTTTTTACTTAGACATATTGTTATCATATAGACAATTGCCAATGGACAACAGTGAAAAATAAGAAAATATCTGCATTCTCACCCAGTTTCTGTAAAATATGGGCAAACTGGAAAATCGCTCATTTTCTCAAAGTATCAAAATGTGCATAAATGGGGTAGCTTTATTTGTGCACTAATTTTCCTTGGGAACTCCAAACTGGAGCAAGATAGCATTTCTTTCTTTGGTTTTCAAACCCGTTCTTTAAAAGTTTTGAAATTCCCTCAATGCTTCTAAAGGATTCCCAATAGGATGAAATCAAAGTTACTCTACTGGGCATTGAGCTAATCATCAAATCACACAGAAACAACTAGTTGTAATAATTAAAAGTATACTTTGTGTCCTCACAATTCTCTGGAGAGGCGTGTTTATAAAAGACCACTTAACAGGATTTAGAATAAATCTATATTTCTCCCTCTTATCTCTCTTAATGATATCACTATCCAACTACCTACTTTACTTTTCCATTTGGAAATCCTAAAGTTACTTTATGACTAATATGTCCAACTCTGAAATTAAGATATTCCCCTATCCTACTGCCAAATCTAGTTTTCCTTGTCTCAGGAACTGGGCTCAGCAAGCAACAGTTATGCAAGCCATAAATCAGGAAGACATCCTTGGCACTAACCTCTCCCTTCACTCCTTTGTTTAGACTATTGCCAAATTCTCTAGATTTCATTTAGTAGACATGCTTTAAATCAACTATTCCCTATACAATTATTTCTCACTAACTCCACCTCACCCCTCAAATCCAAGATACAACTATATCTTGCCTAGACTAATTATCTCTTGCCTTGACTAATTAAATACCCTCCTACCTGCAGTATCTACACTTTCTAACATACTCATCAAATCCATTTTTCAAACTGACACCAGACTGAAAAAAAAAAAAAAAAAAGTACCATTTCATCATCATCTCATATACAGGTTCTCATCTCCACTTTATAAAATACTGCTCATTGCACAAAGGATAACAACTAAAATTCTTAAGCCTAAATATCTCTATTCCCATACTAAAAAACAAATCAGGGCTTCTAACTCAGTTCATTCATAGCCAATGAAGCAAAACGGGAACAGACTCATACTTTTAAAACTTGGGTAAAGTTGAACAATAACTGGAACAAGAAAAATTACAGGTCAAAGTCATGGAATGGGAGACTTCGAAAGGTATAGTAAGCCCTTTCATGAGGCTAATGTGGATGATTAGATTATTTCCAAGATTATGGAGAATGACATTGGAAATGATGCACTCAGCTGCCATCTTTAAGTAGGGTATTGCTGTTTCATACTATACTGACAAAGAGATTTGGTTGTTATGCAAGATGCACACACTGCCCTTGTTTTTAAGGAGGAGATTAAGTTTCTATCTGGGCACTGGCCTGCAATTTCCCCATTTCAGTTACTGTTCTGATTCATCCACATTTTACAAATTCAGTTCTATTCCAGTTTCATTGGCCATGACTGAATAAGGAAGAACCAGTTGGAAGCCCGGAAACAAACGTCCTATGTAACTGTATGTTATTGTTGTTGTTAGGTTCCATCGAGTGTTTCCGACTCATAGAGACCCCATGCACAGCAGAACAAAACACTATCCTATCCCACGCCAGCTCCATGATCCTTGCTATACTTGAGCCCCTTGTCACAGCCACTGTGTCAATCCATCTCATCGAAGGTCTTCCCCTCCTTTGTCGACCTTCCAACTTACCAAGCATGACATCATTCTACAGGGAATGGTCCCCTCTGACAACATGACCAAAGTAGATGAGACAAAGTCTGGCCATTTTCACTTCCAAGGAGCATCTTGGTTGCACTTGCCCAGGACAGATCTGTTAGTTCTTTTGGCAGCCTATGGTAACTTCTTTGCCAGCACCACAACCCAAAAGTATCAACTCTTCTTCAGTTTTCTTTATTCATTGTCCAGCTCTCACATGCATACGAGG